TATTCAATGATGAATGTAAAGCGAACTTGTAATTACATTTAATCTACTTTGTGAAATAATTTTGTAATTAGTTGGCCTAGTTAAAACAACTCTTGTGAATAAGTAGTAATTTGCTCAAAGAGCATTAATGCTCCTCTCAATAAATTCCAGGTTTCTTATTGTATAATTCCAGAATGAAAAGCCCAATGCAGTGATGGTTATAGCTGAAACAAACATGTGTTGATGAATCATATTACGGAAGTGGTTGTGAACTCATTTTGGAAAGGATCTTAGTGACTTGAAGTGGCTTCCTTCTATCCAGTCAGAAAAAGAAACATATTAGCAATGTAAATACATTGATCAATAATATGAGAAAGTTTAGAAATATAGACAGGAACTTACATAATTGTTTATATTCATTACCACAACATGTTTGTTCAACTCTCAAAAAGAGCAGCGCCCCCCCTCCCCAGTCTTCAGAAAATACATTCTTACATTAATGTGGTCCTTTTACAAAATATCTTACTGTACCTCACTCACCCTTTTTGTGATGACAAAAAAAATGACGCAATGGCAATCTGAAGAAATGAAGGAGGTGAAGGACATCAGCATGAGTCGTCCCATTTTCAAAGCACGGATTCCTTGAACACAAGCCCTGGTAAGCTATGCCAAAGGGCTGAGAGACTAAGTTTCCCAAGAAAATTGCTTCCTATAGAATCAAATGGTGAACAAGGCAAATATTCTTCATATTATTGCTCTTCTTTAGAAGCAAATAATCTAAACCAAATGAATAATTTAGGAAGGATTTCTACATCAATTTCTGTGTTTAGAAGAACAATATATTAGAAAGGTGATTAAAATTTAACATGCTATCTATGCTGGTCAAACCAAGAATACTCACAGTACTTTCTGTTTACATTACTCCCATCTAGAGATGATGTGTGAAGTGGCTCTTACAGATCAATTGTTTTTCAGCATTTATCGCTACCATCTCAGCTGCAACTTCTTGAGCACTTGAGCAAGTGAGAGGTGGTGCGTTGAGCAGAGGACTGGTAGAGACATAAGACATCAGCTGAACTAGTCATTATCTCTTTTAGAGAGGAGGGGTTTAAGGTTCAAGGCAAAAGTCATAAAATTGAGGTATAGAAATTGAGAACTTAGATACATCTTCAAGGGCAGAAGAAAAAGTTCAGACAAAGGGAGAATAGGAAACTGCTTTTAAGGTGACTACAATAAAAGCAGCAATAAGTAGATTTTAAAAAAATCATGGAAACAGAACATAAATAGACATAACAGAACTTGAATGAAAGAAGAATGGCCATGATGCCAACAATGCTTCATTGTTACTGCTGTGACATTCATGCAAAGAAAATAAAAAGGAAGAAGGGAAAGACGGAAGAGTGAGATCAGGTGAGAATTGAGGCCAGATCAGGGAAAAAGCTCAGCAGACCCTATCTGACCTAGCTGGGCATGGTGGCACATACCTCACATCAGCTACACAAGAGGCTGAGATCAAGATCATGGTTCTAAGCACAGAAAGTTGCAAAGTTCAATCCATAGTATCACAAAACACATACATAACTAACTATGGTTTAGGATAATAAAGATAATGTTATATGCAAGGCAATAACATTCCAGAAAATAAATTCTACATAGTTTTTTTTTTTTTTTTTGTCAGTCATGGGTCTGAACTTCTGGCTTTTTCTGCTTATGTGGTGCTGAGGAATTAAACCCAGGGCCTTATGCAAGCCAAGCATTCTACCACTGAGCCACTTTCCCAGCCCCCATTCTATGTAATCTTTAATGAAAATAACTATTTTCATTTTATAAGTTTTAGGAACATGTCTTGTGAAAGTAAAATGAAAGTAAAGTTTAAAAAAATACACTAGGAAACAAAGAAGGGAATTTATTTTAAGAAAAAAAAAACAAGATGAAGAGTGAATATTCAGTTTAGTCAAGTGATCATGGTTTCCATTGTTGGTTTTACAGAAATGTCTCATCTAGTGAGTCATCACTCAGTAGACTAGCAGGATTTCCCAACCATTATTGCAGTCAGGAAATAATCACATTTTCTCCTTTCCCTGACACCATGATTTCCCACAATAAATGTAAAATACCAAATAACTGTTAAAACAGAATCCTTATTTTAATACTTCAATACAAGATATACACATTCAGACCAAAAGAAATTTAACTTGAGCTTTGCAATGTAGTTTGGAAACATCCTTGCTTCGCTGCACAATTTATTTTAAAATAAGCTAGTTCTTAAAAATCTAATATAGCAGCTGCTGAGAGAAATGATAAATATTGTATTTTAATTTTTAGTTATATTGTTCTATATAATGTGATTTCAGTCTCCAAAGACTCATGCAATCTACAGAGTATATAACTCATGCTATGATGTATACTCTACTCACTACTTGGAATAATTGAATTTTGTTTTTTTTAAAAATAACTTCGGAATAAATCTCATGTCCCGAAAGATGTTCTGTACTTTGTACCAATCAACTCATGAAATGTCACATTTATCTTAGAATGAATTTTAGAGAGAAAAGTGTATCATACTGAATCTAAAGTTTCTCTTGGATGAGTCACATTTTTCATAATAGATACTATGACATGAATATAGATTGTTATGTTCCCTGTATAAGAAATGCTACATGACACCTGTTGTGGGTTTCTATGCTTCAGTAACAAATTACTCCAAATTTTTATTGCTTCCCTCAACAAATTATTATATCCTCTTAGGGTTCCAAGGGACTGATACACTCATCTGTGTAGTTCTTACTTAACAGCCTGCATAAAAGTATAGATAAATAGGCTTCTTTCTCATACTTCTGATGTCTAGGCTTGGCAGAGAAGCTGGAGGCTGGTCTGAAAGGTCTTTCCCTCTCTCTCTCTCTACTTCTTCTCTTCCTTTATCTCTGGATATTTCCCCTTTCATTTTACAACTCATATTCTATGTCTCTCCTCTCCCAAGTTCTTTAAGAGCAAATCTTAGGTATAATTTGCACTGTTATTACCCTTGCACAAATTAACAATCCAGGGAAATATAGACTCTCTAACACATAATAACATGACCCTTAAATGCTAGGGCCTTTTACACTCTAACTTAACATGCCTTTACCAGGCAAATTTATCACGTGTTTCTCCCCAATGCCATCTAGTCAGAACCTGTCAGGAAGACAACTATAAAGTGTATTCTGGCTTTATTATTCATTGGCATAAGAATAAGGAAATATAATGCCCCCAAATTCACAGAAAAATATTTGAAAGGACCTAGCATAGTTGGGCTTATTTTACATAATTTTGGCAATCTTGCTAAATCTCAGAAGGAAAGATGACTGAAGTGGGGCTAATACTATGATACACAAGATAAGATGATACTTGACCATTTTGTGTGTTAGAAAAAATGCTGAACCCAGTTAGCTTTAACAAAATCTAGAGTAAGAAAACGTTTCTAGAACTATCTGTATTTCAAGACAAAGAAAATTCACAATGAATCACCTCACCACATGTGAATGTTGTATTTGTAGCCTGGTACCCTGATTGAAATATGGTCAGCACTTTCACACACACACACACACACACACACACACACACACACACACACACACCTGGGCAGAATAGAATACTGGGATACTTTCACTTCTTTTATACTTAGTGAATATAGTCATAGTTTGTTCCCTCTGGTTAGGAAAGAATAGACTATATCTCTTCATTAAAAAAAAAACTGTTTAGGGTTGGGGTGGCTCAGTTGTATAGTGCTTTCCTTGCATGCATGAGGCCCTGGGTTCGATTCCTCAATACCACATAAGCAGAAAAGGCCAGAAGTGGCACTGTGGCTCAAGTGGTAGAGTGCTAAGGGCTAGCCTTGGGCTGAAGAGATGAGGGAAAGCGCGCAGGTCCAGAGTTCAGGCCCCATAACTGGAAAAAAAAAACTGTTTAATTTTATACACACACACATACAGATACAGATTTATTAGACCTGTTGTTACTGTGAATATACATATCTTACTATGAATATAAATACTTATGATCCCATGACGTTCAACTTCATTACTCAAAACTAAGTTGCTTGATGTCAGTTTGTTTACACATCGACGTATATTACTGGTCACTATGTATAAAGGTTTACCTAGGCCATATATCACCAAATACAGAGATAGATTTATACCAAACTTATTTTGATTTAACAGTAACTTAGATAACATTTTTAACCGACAATCAGATAGGATGATACAGTAGCTTGTTTTCTAGATCCATCCAACACTGTTTATCTAACTTTGAATATGCTCCATAAAAGTGTTTATATTCATCAGGAATATACCAATTCCTATTCCACGCTAGTTTTAGCTATGAAGTTTCTTTCCACGCATATTCCTAACGTTTGAAGTCCAACTCATCAGATTGTGCAGCTTTCTTGCTTACTTGGCCAATTGAGCACAACCCCATCTCTGCCATTTTACTGATTATTTAGAGATGGAATCCAGAGTTGCTTTCCACTGAGGCTGGACTGAATCAACGATCTCCAGTAGCAAGGGTCTCAGGTGTGAACCACTAGCACTGGCTCTCGAACATTTTTCGTGTTATATGTTTGATCACTTGTTTTTATGTTTTGTTTCCTAAGGTTAGATTAAAAAATAGACATTATTCTGTATTAGCAAATTACTGTAGATAAGTACCTGGGAGACACACACATAAACATACAGATGCGTTTGTCCACTTCTTCTATAAACTACAAAACATTATGTTAAATTGCTTCACTTAACTCTGTAAAATAATTTCTGGAAACTTACCACAAGGACCTTGGGGGAAAAAAACCTACTAGGTTCTGGGGCTACACCAGAACTACGTTTCCCACAATGCTCCTGGGCTGGAATGCGCGCGGAAATAGAAAACTACATTTCCCACAATTCTGAGACCCTCCCCCCCCCCTCCTCCCGGCCACACTGCTGTATTTCCGGCGACCCCTGACCCGATTTCCCATCTTCCCTTGTGACGGTTGCGTTCGGAGGACGATCCGCGCTCGGGTCGCGCTCGGCCATTTCTCGCAGAGTTTCTCACGGCGCCATGTTGGGCCAAAGCGTCCGGAGGTTTACAACCTCTGTGATCCGTCGGGCCCACTATGAGCACGGCCCGGGGAAGGTCAGTGTGAGGGCCCGACGTTGATGGTCGGGGGAGGGGCTCACCGCCGAGGCCGCCGTGGCGGCGGCGCGGGACGGGGTGACCGGGACGCGAGGCGAACCTCGGCGCGCAGCGAGACATGGCGGCGGGGATGCCGGGGAGCCCCTCGCCGGTGGCCGCCTTCGCAGGGGCCGTGCTGCGAAGCTGAGGCGGTGGTTCCCGCGGCAGGAAGTCGGTGGGTAGAGCCAGCGGCCCAGCCTCTGCGGTGGGGCGCCGCCGCCTTCCCCCCGGACTGCCGGGACCGAGCCCGCGCGCGGCCTTGTTCCTGGAGGTCGTCGGCCCCGACTGAAGGTCGTGGGACACTGTCGGGGAAGATGAGAGCCTGAGGTTGTGTGAGGTCCTTTATTCCTGGTTGGTTGAATTAAAAATACCCGTCTCGGGAATGAGGTTTCGAATTAGGTTTGGCCCCAGGTGTTAAATGACTCGAATCGAAAATGTAGGCATGACCTTGGACCCTGAGGCCTACTAGTGAGTGATGGTCTAGGCCTAGTGATGGAAAAGTTAGAACTCCTGTCCTTGGCCAGATGCTATTAAGCAGTTGATCCCACGGATAAGGGTTTTTGTTGTTGTTGTTGTTTGTATTTTTCAATTTTCGAAAATACATGGTGTCTCTATTTTACTCGGAAGTCTTGATGTTGAAGCCAGATATTTCTTCTTTTATGTGCACCCGATCGTGTAAAAAAATATTTTTGTTTCACTTTCCCCACAGACTCTGCCATTTTCAGTGGAAAACAAGTGGCGGTTACTGGCCATGATGACTGTATTCTTTGGATCTGGGTTTGCTGCGCCATTTTTTATAGTGAGGCACCAACTGCTTAAGAAGTAAGGGTGTCGTAATTTACCATTTAACAGGTAATTATAGGTTTCTAGTCTTCCTAGAGTGCTATTAGATACACTCCACACAAATCTGTACACGGTGCTATGTGGGGTTAATTCCTGAAATTGGGTGTAGCGTTGATGAACATCATGTACTTAGCCTGTAAACAATTATTTTTGATCAGTAAGAATCAGTATTTATTGAATTCCAGTTGGATAATTTGTGTGGTGCCCCAACAGGCCTCTGAAGGAAATAATTAAGTTGATTTTACTTACTTTTGTTAAACAGTTAAAATCTGTACTTAGAGTACAGAATATATGGGGGGGAGGGGAATCAGAAAAAATGTACTTATTGTGCTCCTTAAATTTGTATAGGTTTCTAGTGTTTATGCTATGATAAATCTGTGACTGATTAACCCAGCCATCATAGGAAAACTTAAAGACAGTGAGATTTGCACCATAGTGGGAAATTTGGCAGTGACTACAGTCATTTATGATATCCCAAGGAACAGACTAAATGGCAGTGGTGCTGCTTTTAGAAATCTGCATTAAGGGAACAAATGAAGTATTAGGTGTGCGGATTTAAAAAAATACTAGCCATTAATTGTAAATAGTTTATTGACATGAATATTGAAAGGTCTCTAGAATGAATAAATTTTGACCTATGATTTATAAAGGAAGATTATTATTCATAGAAAAGTTATTCAGGCCACTAATATAAAGGTTTTGGTACATATGATGATACAAATCAGTATGAATAAAATGATACTGTAAACGCTTTCTGATGTACCAAATCTGAAACAAAGTAAGACAACTTCTTCTTTTTTTGTTAATTTTTGTTTTTATTTTGCAGATAAGAATGTTTGAAGAGGCACAGACCCTGGAAAGTGAATTAAACTCTCCAACTCAGAATACTAGATATGTTTGTAAATAAACTCCTGACATGAATGCTTGATGCCTCCTTTCTGCAATAGGAATATGATACTTGAACTTGCCTTTATTTTATTTGGGGTGTTCTCAAGTGTCAGTATTTCCACCAAGAATTATAAGATTAGCTTGTTATGATACTTGTAAGATTTTATTACTTGTGACTCACAAGTCAGGAATTTAGTGTTTTCTAATTTATGTTTAAGAAGGAAAATACAGTTTTGGTTGTCGTAAAACAAAATATATGTGTAAATATGTATTGTGTGTGTATACACACATACTCTTTAGTTGTCTTTGAAAGAATAATGATTTTTCATGAAAAAAGTGATTAGAATTTCAACCATTGTACATCTGTGTCACCAATGACACAGATTGAAATTCTACTAAGATATTGTAAGGTTTATTATTTCTAGATCTAAAACGGAAAATTTTGCCTTAATTAACTGTAAAAGTTAATCGGGGTTGTATTCCCAAGTATTTCTAGAGTTGGCTACAATGTACTAATAAATAACCAAAAATATTTTCAGAGTAGAATAAGCTTAGAGCAAGACCACATGTCTTAACAGTGTTTGCTATTGTGGGATTCAATACTAGTTTTCTAAGTGTTAGGGAAATCTTAAATATTTACAGGTACCCTTAAGGGGGAAAAATTTAAATGTAGGCCATATGACCTCAACAAAAACAACAACTGGTACTGATGAGAAGCAAATGTGCCCATAATTATGCCCTTAGTATGAGACATTTGAAATTTCCACCAGTAAAAAAAATGAGCATTAAGATCAACAATGTTTTGTAGTCAGCACACAAGAGAGGACTTAATCAGAGAATCTGATAAAAATCATTTAAAGCCCAAATGTTACTCAGAGTAGGAAATACTGAGAATCCACTTGAGATTTTACACATCAGAGTACTGATTACTAGGAACCTAAAGGTTCTTAATAGAAACCAAGCCATGTTGAGAGATGCCACTACTTCTTTAATCCAAGGGTTAGGGATAAGATGGTACTTTTAGATGCTTCCTGGTAAGGAAGACAACTAAGGACATAAATGTTGCTAAAAAATTAGTGGCAGAATAAGAAGGCATATCATCTCCCATTTAATTCAAGTCTAATAAGCCTTATCAAACTTGATAGTAAACTTTTTTCTTTTTGTCAGTTGTGGGGCTTAGACTCTCATCCTTGGTGCTGTCCCTGAGGCCTTTTGCTGAAGGATACCTCTTTATCCCTTTGAGCCACTGTGCCCTTCTGGTTTTTCTGGTGGTTAATTGCAGGTGGAATCTTAGGAACTTTTTTTTTTGCCTGGGCTTGGTTTGAACAATGGGCCTCATAGCTCAGTCTCCTAAGTAGGTACGATTAAAGGCATGAGCCACCTGCTCATAACAGTTTGAATAGGAAGAATTACAAGAATATATATATATAGAGAGAGAGAGAGTTCATATGAAGTTAATTTGTAAACATTTCAACAAATTTTGCCCCTATTACCATCCAGAAGTAAACCAACTGTAACAATATCTTTAAATATTTGCAAATGTTGGTAAAAATAGAGATCTTGAATTAGTAATTTAAAAGCAGCAGGGCAGCCTGAAGGAATTTTTTTTTTTGGTGGTGGGGTCGGGGCCGAGGGGAAGGAAGGTTCAAGCAGAAAAATGTAAAGGAAAAAAATTTGAAATTACAAGATGTCTAAGGATAGAATTGCCGAGATGGTAATAAACTGAAAAGGCCTGAAACAGCCAAGAATTAAAAACGATAAAATTAGTAATCAAATGAACAACATCTTAAATTACAGGTTCATACCTGTATTCCTAGCTGCTCAGGAGGCTGAGACCCAGATGATTACCATTGGAAGCCCAGGCAGAAAAGTATACAGGAATCTATAGTAGCCAGCAAAAGTCAGGCTGGAGGTATAGCTCAAGTGGTATAGCCCCAGCAGGCTAGTGAAGGCCCTGTGTTCAAACTCCCCAGTTTTTTCATTGCTTATAATACATTTTGTCAGACAACAAACCAAATAATTCACTACCATTGGGAATATTTTTCTCCCTAAATTGTGGAGAGAGAAAAAAACTCTATAGAACATCACCTTGATCTCAGACCCTAGTAAGTTCCCTTCTGCCACTCACCAATCAGCCCACATTCTCATTCCACTGAAACAGCAACCTATTGCTACTTATTTCATCATTGGTTAGTCTTCATATGGTTTATAAATTTCATGGGTAAAAGTTTTGAAGAGCCTAAAGATGCTTTAGATAAACTTATTTTAGGAAATTATTTTAGGAAATGTGAACAACTGTAAGATAAAAACATTTTCCAGAGTAAATCTAGGAAGTTTCAGTGGCAATATACAACTGTTTTGTGGAATGGAAAAATACATGGAGTAAAACAGCTACTTTAAGATGAAACAATTGTTTTTTCTCAAAATAGGTAAATGTAGAGCAAAAATATTGGCAGAAATTAAAAGAAGGAAGCATCCTTGAAGACAATTCTATCTAGTACCTAACAAATAATAGGTATGCAATACATTTTTGTGTAAATGAACCAAAGGGAAGAGAATTCCAAATACAGAGGATGAACATGTTTAAAATACTAGTACAGGGAAGACCACTAGAAGTATTGAAGATAATTAGACCAATAGATGTTTCCTGTTGCTCCTAATTGACTTTTTTTTTAAATAATAAGCTGGTGATAGCTGTTCACTGTATCAGATTCTTTAATGATCATACTGTATTTTATACATGTACACAACAAAAATATTTGAATATATTGGAACTCAGAAAAAGTACAAAACTAAAAGACCATAAAATTATATAATAGACATGTGACAACTGTTTTAGTTTTTCTGTCACTATAGTCAATTTCAATCTAGGCGTAAATGTAATACCTCTACATTCTAAAGCCTATGGTAAAATTGTTGGTCTTGAATACTTAGCAGTTTCTGTGACATTATAAAAAGAACTATAGTGCAGCTAATCAAGTGTCAGGCAGTGCTTTGCAGAGAGCTCATTTTAATATTTAATAATATGAATGTTGAACTCAAGTTGAAGGCAGCTACATTTGCATATGTATATAGGATGTCAGTACTTAATTCAACAAAACAGTGAATGTCCAGAATGCTACATGTCCTTCCCAACCAAGAAGTTGCTTGACAAAAACATTCATTTCATTATTCCTTCTCAACTTTGATTTTTAAGGTATTGCAATGATCTGGCAAAAACACTAAGGAGATGTAAGATGATATTCCCTTTCTCAACAGTGAAATAATCTGGAATCAAAACATTATTACAGGCATCAAATGCAAGAAAATGCAGCCAATTCTGGGTAATATGGAAGTGATGAAATGAAGCCTAGTACACTTCAGACAATATTTGGAGTTGGCTACTGAAGGTTGGACAAGATTTGAACTACAAAGTGAGGAAGAAAGTGGTTACACAGATATTACATAAATATAAATTACTGCCAGGCACTGGTAGCTCACACCTGTAATCCTAGCTACTCAGGAGGCTGATATCTGAGAATCACGGTTCAAAGCTAGCCCAGGTAGGAAAGTCTGTGAGACTCCAATAAACCACTAGAAAACCAGAAGTGGTGGTGTGGCTCAAGGGGTAGAGCACTCTCCTTGAGCTGAGGAGCTGAGTGATAGCATTCAGGCCCAGAGTTCAAGCCCCACGACAGACCAAAAAATAAAAAAAAAAAATACAGATTATTGACTTACTGTATATAAATATATAGACACATTCACATATAGAAACATTTGAATTGCAAAATGGCATGTGTTTTTAGCACCTGTTACTACTCTTTGATGCTCAAAATAATATTTCATGTGTTTTGGATTAAAGTCCTGCAAGGGTCAATTTGTAAATGTGAAAAGCATCCTAAAAATAACCTATGCTAGATAGTGTCACTGTGGCTCAAGCGGTAGAGTGCTTGACTTGAGCTGAAGAGCTGAGTGCCAGAGCCCAGGCCTAGAATTCAAGCTCCACGACCACCCAAAATAATAATAATAACCTATGCTAACATGTTAAGAGAACATAAAAACCTCTATACTTATGTTTATTGTCATGCTATTTATAATAGATAAATGGTGGGAAAAGCCAGGGTACATAAATTGCAGAGAAATGGTGAAGCATATATGTAGTACATAATACCATGGAATATTACACAGACATAAGAAAAATTAAACCCTATTATTTGCAGGAAAAGGGTGAAATTGGAGAACATGATATTAAGCAAGAAAAACCAAACTCAAAAATCCAGTTATGTTTTGTTTCTTTGAGGAAGCTAGACCTAAAAGACATATGCCTGAACATACTCATAAATGTATATAAATGTAAATATGTATATGTACAGTTTTACACACATACATCTTCACTGAGTCTAACTATGGGACTGTGAAGGAGGATGACAGGATAAAAGGGAGAGGGAAAAGAAAGATGAAATGTGAATAATTTCGAAATACAGTGCAACTAAGAATGGAAACTGCATAGCCTCAATGAAAGCTATTGACCAAAGATGAGTGATGAGGAAAAGGGAAGCAACAAAATGTTATTCTGAGCAAACTATAACACATGCACATTGGAAATACCATAGTGAAAACTCTTAGTGTCAGTTAAAGCAAATGTCAGGAAAATAAGAGATGCTGTAATAGGAGAGGTACTATTAGGAGTGGGAGAGGGTGAATGAGGATGAATATGGCTGGTGTGCTCTATTTGCATATTTGAAAATAGAGCAATAAAGTCATTGAAATTCTTTTCAGAAGTGGAAATGGGATAGGAGTGTGTTAGAGAAGGTGAGTTAGATCAGGCTATATTGTATGCGTGCGGGAAATGTCATAATAAAACCTCTCATACATTTAATGTCTTCTATTTTTAAAAACCTGATTAAAAAGAAAGGGAAAAACACTTGTTACATTTTTATCATTTTAATGTTTTATTCCTTTTGCACATGAGAAAACGGTGAGGACTAATGGCATAAACAGTGATGCTTACAAATATCTAAGAATATATTTTAGTATGGAAGTTAATTTTCAAA